GTGTGTGTGTGTGTGTGTGTGTGTGTGTGTGACGAAGTAGACAGCAACACAGGATCCCCAAAGGTACAGCTACCCCAAGTATACCAACAAAAAACAGACAGACTCACCACAAGCATAAGACACCGACAGGTATTTGTTGATGCCCGCGGCGCATGGGTCACCGAATATGCTCTCGTTGGCAAGCAAAGCACAGCTCTTTCTGCCGTGGCAACGGGTCCGAACCTCAGACACCGTGTCAGCCGACTGGCAATCTGAAAAAAAAGAGAGATAGAGATTAATTTAGTTTTAGTAAGTGTTTTCCGGTACTTGCAACAAAATAAGGTCATATAAGGGCTGAAGATTAGAGGTGTTACACGAGAGTAACAAACACAAAAAAGGAGGCGAGATTATAAGGACGATAGGTGTTTGTTAGGATTCGGAAAGAAGAAGCAAACCACACCAGAGCATCCGCCAACCGTCCACAGAGGTAGAGAAAAAACAAAGAGACACAGGGCCCTGAGACAGGAAACGTGGCTAACCCCTCTGACACTACAAGAGAAGCTATACGGGCCGACAGATGAACTGAGCAGGACAGCCCAATTTAATTTAATGACAGATACCGGACTTCAAGTGCGATGCTATCGAGATGAAGAACAGAAGAAGAGGAAGGAACACACACAAGCCATATAAGTCTATGATGTGCTGTGAGCTCAGTTGATGTATGCTGGACTGTGGTGTCGATAGTTCTGGTTCGATTCGCTGACGGGGAGATTTTGAACTTAGATTGTTTGGGGGAGTCTTCAATACAATCCTCCAACTTGACAAAGTCCCATCACAGATAGACGTTGAACGCGGAGGTCTCAGTTTTTAAATAAATTTACAGGGTTGATAAAGTATCTATGTACCTCTGTTTTAGTACGAGTTTAGGTCACAAATACTGATAGTTACGGACCCTTAACGTATCTATATAACCATGTTTTTATACTAGTTTGGATCATAAATATATTGACAGTTACTGACGGATAACATAGCAATGTACTCCAGTTTTTGTCTGAGTTTAGGTCACAAAGATATTGACAGTTGCTGACAAATAGCATAGCTATGTACTTCTGTGTTTGGACAAGTTTAGATCACAAAGATATAGACAGTTACTGACGGATAAACGTACCTATATATCCCTGCTTGTGGGGAGGGCAGAGGTCCGAGCCGTTGGGCGTGCGACCAAACATGGCCGAGTAGACCGCGATTCTGTCCCCTTTTTCGCACCAGATCTCCAGTTCTTCCCCTTCACATACTGTCTCCTGCTCAAACTCGTCTGGGGAGAGAGAAAATTGAATTATGAAGAAAGGGTTGAGATGTTCGGTCTTTTCCTTGACTGTACCTTAGACTTGGATTATGCAAGTGGTTGGAGCGCGCCACTGGTAGGTCCTACTTCTTTGCTTTCTCTCTGGGGTTTTTGGGTCTGTGTTGGTGGTCGGAGGGCGCCTACTTTTTTAAAACTTTTCTTCTGTTGTTTCTATCTGTGCGTGTGTGTGAGTGGTTGGAGCGTAGGTCCTACTTCTTTACTCTCCCTCTGTTGTTTCTGACTGTCTGTCTTACGTTTTCCCAGCACTAAATGACCATGATTGTGTCGATGCACAAATAAATTTTGCACCATGTCAATACATTTTTACCTAACCAATAAATATGGGCACCAAAATCAGGACACGGGACAAATAAAAAACTTTTTAAAAACAAAAAAACAAAGCAAACAAATAAAAAAATAAACGGACAACCAAACACAGATTTCAATTAAAATATCCTGATATAAACCATGAACTGCCACTGGCGCCCAAAATGAAGGAAACTACACTGAACTCTCCATAGGTGCGCTCCGTGGTGAACCGGAATTACGTCAGAGTGCACGATCTAGGATATTATAAGTCTATGGACTGAATACTAATCAGATGTCTTCAATCTATTTAATTTAGATAGGACATGAGGGAAATATATATATA